GCTGTTTGGACTAATTAAAGGGCTCCCCTTGTCTGCTCTTTCAGCCTACTAGGTGACTAGGAAGACGTGCTTCTGCCTCTCATTCCTTTGGATTGTAGCTCATCATGAAACAGAAGCACACATCCATATTAACAATATGAAATTGATATCACTACCATATTCCAGTGAAAGGAATCATTTCTTCCTGACGATATCAAAGAAGAAGAAGGAGAAGGAGGTAGAGGGAGGAGGAGAAGGAGAAAGAGAAAACAGAAAAAGGTTTTCTCTCTAAAAGTAATCTCCAGCCACAAGATTAAGTAATGCTTTTATTCAAGCAATGGCATTTTCCTCAGCCTCTGAAATTATCTTCAACTATTACAAACCGCATTGACAAGAAAGTTTCTTAAAACAACTTCCTTTTCAAAACTTGCATCTTTACTAGATGAAACTTTTTTTAAAACATAATTAAATAGAAAACATCTGTTTTTAAAAGATAGCCTTAAAGTGCTTTCACCACTTCCTTAAAGATAGTTATTAGAGTATCCATCCCTGACTACAAAATTCCATTTATTTATTGATTGATTGATTGAGAGTGCATATGTGTACTGGGGACAGGGGAGGGTGATGTGGGGGTAAGGGAGAGAAAGAAATTGAGACTCTCAAGTAGACTTCAAGCCCAGCACAGAGCCCAATGCAGGGCTGGACCTGAGCCAAAATCAAGAGTCAGATGCTTAACTGATTTGGCCCCCCCGGGCGCCCCCAGAACTCCAATTTTTAAAAAGTAGTCTTCCTCCAGTTTCTCCACACCATAAGTTTATTGAGGCCAGCCCATGAAGAAAGGGAGATTTAGGTAGTAGGTACAAGGAGAAATGTATTGAAGTTATATTGAACGCAACAAAAAAGAATTAATAGTTTTCCAATAAAAGGGATGTCTGGGTGGCTTGGTTGGTTAAGTGTCTGCCTTTGGCACAGGTCATGATCCTGGTGTCCTAGGATAGAGCCCTATGTCAGGCTCCCTGCCAAGCAGGGAGCCTGCTTCTCCCTCTGCCACTCCCCCTGCTTGTGCTCTCTCTCTCTCAAATAAATGAATCTTTTAAAAAATGTATTTTTCCAATAATTTTGAAATGTATTGCTATTTCATTATAGATTTTTAAAAAAGATTTTATTTATTTATTCATGAGAGACACAGAGAGAGAGACAGAGACATAGGCCCAGGCAGGCTTCCTGGGGGACCCCAATGTGGAACTCGACCCCAGGACCCTGGGATCGTGCCCTGAGCCAAAGGCAGACGCCACTGAGCCACCCAGGTGTCCCTCATTATACATTAAATTCAGCTCCTAGCACCATTTTGGAATATAATTTTCATGATTAATGTAAGAATTAAGAATCTTTATTTCTCATTTCTATTTTTATTTTTACCTTTTTAAAGGATTTTGTTTATTTATTTATTTGACACAGAGAGAGTGCACAACCAGAGGGAGAGGGAGAAGCAGGGTCCCTACTGAGCAGGGAGCCCAAGAGGTATCTTGATCCCAGGAACTGAGATGATGACTTGAGCAGAAGGCAGTTGCTTAACTGAGCCACCCAGATGCCCCTATTTTTACTTTTCTTTAAAAGGCCATTTTAGAAGTACCCTGGCATTATAATTGATGTCCAGTTATCTCTTTCTTTAAAAAATGCACAATTTTGTGCTCTTTACAAAATAAAGTATTTTAATGGGGAAACAAACCAGAGTCAATTAGAAAGATCTTCATCTTGAGATTCTCCCCCTTGAAAGTTCATACGTTATTCAGTCATTTATTCCTATATCCTCCCTTCACTTACTTAACAGATTTATTTAGCATCTACTATATGCCAGCAGTATTTTAACTGACTGGACAAAAATCAAGAACAAACGAGACAGGATCCAAAAGAGATAGGATCTCTGTCTTCCTGGACTTTAAAGTCCAGCTGGGGAGACAGACATTCAACAAATTAATTTTAAAAATAGCTATAATAGAACTGTACAACACAGAATGAACCCTATTGTAAACCATGGGCTTTATTTAATAATGATGTATCAAATATTGGTTCATGAATTATAACAAACACACCACACAAATGGAAGATGTTAGTAATAGAGGCAACTGTGTGTTATGTTGGCATACAGGAAATCTGTGCTTTCTACATACATTTCTGTTATCTGCTTTAAAAAATAAAGTCTCTTAATAAGTTTTTTAATAGCTCTAAAAGATAAGCAATTTAAAAGAAATAAATAGGATGCTATTAGAAGGAATAGTCAGGGGGAGGGTGACATAACTTGGAGTGAGGAGTAAGGAAAGACATTTCTGGAGTAAGGCCACAACTAGAGAATAAGTAGGAGCCAGCCAGGCAGAGAAGAGAAAGAAGTGTATTCTTGATAAATCAAAGTGGAATCACTTGAACTACCTTTGGAAATATTCTGGCTTCTCAGTGGAGGATGAATTGTGGGAGTGCACATGAGGGTGCAAGAGTACAAAGGAGATGAGTTAGAAGTAACTTAGAATGGACCATAGTTTTTGTTACCTACTCAAAGTATTAGTAGAGCAGAGTGACAGTAGGATTCTTTCCTTTGCTCAGCTCATGCCAGAAACCATTAGGTTCTCCATGAACTGCAGACTAGGAAGAAAGGAGACTGTCATTGGCAGTAAGACAGGGTTCCCAGGTCTCAATTCCTAAGATCTTTCCAGTGGGCCACTGGGATTTTTACAATGAGGAACAATGTGTGTGTGTGGCCGGGGGTGGGTGTTTGAGACTACAATCAGCTGAGAATTACAAGGGAAAACAAGCCTTCAAGTAGTACTATCCACGTGTAATAGAAGATTTTCATAGAAGTCTGTATATGATTTAATTTTCAGTAGTTTTCTATTCCCACACTACTGGATTGTTGGATTTTATTTTTTGTTTAAGGTTACATGTTAAAAATTGTTGATAAGTCAACAAAAAGGATACTTAAAGAAGGTCTATTTAGGCAGGGGGCTGTTTTAGTCTGTCAATATTGAAAGTTTTTTTTATCAGACTTCTTACGGGTGAATTCCTAAGGAAAAAAATTCTAGTGAGTAAAGGGAAATGTCTATAAGAGATAGATTTCTATTGATTCTAGAACTGTTATTAGTAGCATGGAAGATTAAATAGTTCCAGGTTTTATTTCTTTTTTTAAAAATTTTTATTTTTTTAAGATTTTATTTATTTATTTATTCATGAGAGACAGAGAGAGAGAGAGGCAGAGACACAGGTAGAGGGACAAGCAGACTCCATGCAGGGAGCCCGTTGTGGGACTCGATCCCAGGTTTCCAAGATCAGGCCCTGGGCTGAAGGCCGTGCTAAACCGCTGAGCCATCTGGGCTGCCCCACCAGGATTTATTTCTATTTAAAAGTAAGCAACTCTGCCATTAAATAATCCACTTCATCATCTGTAACTGTAACCTGCCTTTGTGTATGTGCACTGTAGATTTGCAAGCCTTAACTATTTTTATGCATTTGTTTTACAGTAGAAAAATTGTATGATAGTTGTACATTATATATAAGAAGATTCCATACCACTTCGAAAAATCTTCAGCAAATGAGCATGCATTTCATAGCACTTAGCTAATCATGATACCAAACGGCTAATATGCCTATCTAACTCTATAGGATTACTTTTTTTTTTTTCTTTTTGGATTCCTGGAAACAAAAACACTTAAGAATCCCCCATTTGAGCAGACCTGTTGTTTATTTTAGAACATATAAGTACATCATCAATGTGATTTTAAGTAGTTCAGTTATTAATATGGGATGAAGGGATAAAATAAAGTTTTCTACTCTGATGTCTCCATTAAGAAGCTCCTCTTTGTGTAAAATACTCCGTGGCAAAGTTGCTTCTATTTAAAGTAGTGAGTTTGATCTTGGCTTTGATCTAAAGCTTTTGATCTTGAAAGAAGGATGGAGTAGCAATAAAGAGAGGGCAAGACAGATTTTCTTTAAAGAAATGCGATAAAGTTAAAGGGATGGTCAAGATCAACAAACGCGAGTGCGACCCGACTCCTCTCCCCAAGCGCTCACCCCCATTCAGGTTCAGCCAACTCGTGATACGGATGGGAAGAACGCCTTTTGGGTTTCGGCGGAAGAATCTGGAGCATCGCAGACTTTTAGAAACTAAGAGGAAACTATCTCCCTAATTATGAAGACCGAGTGTCTCCCCTTAAACTCTCCCCGGCCGCGGTGGCGGTCCGCGGTCCGGGCGCGGGCGGCGCCGACTGCGCTCAGCAGGAGCGCTCGGGCTCCCTGGAAGCGCGGGCGGCGCGCGGGGCTCGCCTGTTATGCGCGGGCCGTGTCTCCCCCGGGAGGTCACCTGTGCCACCGCCGGGAGTCCGGAGGGGCCACTGGAAAACGTCTACTTAATGGCGTCTAACCAATCCTCCGAGACAGAGTCCACTGGGAAAGTTCCTCCCGCTCGGCAGAGGCCACCTGGACATTTGGGTGCCTGAACCAAGGAGCGTATTCCGCTGGCCGCGGGGGCGGGGGCGGGGGCGGGGGCGGGGGCTTCTCGAGCTAAGGAGCCCTTTGGCTTCGCACCGCGGCCGAGACGCCCTTTCGTGGGTCCCCAGGGGCCGGGGGTGGGGGCTGGAAAGGTAAGGCGTGCGGGCGCGGGCGGGACGCGGAGATGGGGAGCAAGGCGGTCCGCAGCCCGCAGCGAGAACAATAAAGTAGCCGGCGCTGGCGGGGCGGGGGTGACCTGCGGGGCGGCCCGGGCAGCCGCTGTACCTTTAAGGCAGGCCCCGCCCCCAGGCGCCCGCCCCGCCCCCGCCCCCGCCGTCCCGGCCCCGCAGCCCGCCCCGGCTCCGCGCTGCGCCCGAGGTGTCGCGGGCCCGCGGTTCTCCGGCCGGGCGGGCGCGGGGCGCGGGACGCGGGGCGCTGGGGCGGCTCTCGCTCGTACCCTCGCCTGCCGCGGCCGAGGTGGCGGGGCGCGGAGGGGAGGCCGGGGAGGCTCCGGGCAAACTTGACTCTTTCCCCTTCCCCCGCAGCCGCTGCAGACGGAGCGCCAGGCCAGGGCGGAGTGCGGGCTCGCGCGGCGAGTGGGCGCCGAGGTGAGTGCGGGGGCGCTCGCTGCCCTCGCTGCCCTCGCTGCCCTCCCGGGGGCGCCGCGGCGGGTCCGAGGGCCCCGGACGGGGGTGCGGGGGCGGCCGGGCGGAGGTCGCGGCCCCGGCGCGGGCAGGTCCCTGCGGCGCTGTCCCCCGTCCGCAGGTGAGGCCCGGCGGCCCTGCGCCCGCGGAGGGCGGCCTCACCCCGCGCCGAGGTGTTGAAGGGCCCTGTGCTTTCTGAACTTCAGGTCCACAAATGGATTCGAGTGAACCGGAGACCCCAAAAACGGAAACGAAGGGAGACTGAAGACGTGTTTGAAAAGGTAGGGTTCCCGAAGGAGGGCGCGGGGTGGGGTTCTTGAGAAATCTGCCCCCGAGGGCCTGAGCACAACAATAGAGTAGCGTTTTTTAAGTTTTGATGAAATGTACAGTAAGCCGAAAATTAATGTGGATGGTTATCCAGACTATTGGTTGATGATCATGGACACACTGTGAGAGAATGGCTTCGGATGGAGATAGGTTCCACGCCTGTTAAATAGAGCAATAGAAGACAAGCGGACCCGTTAGTAGTTACTATGGCAGCTGTGCAGGTACCTCTAAAAATGGGGGAGTGTATTGAACAAATTGTTCACAATATCGGGTTTCTCTGGTTATGATAGGCACAGCAGCACGCTCATTTAGCCTTTAGACTTTAAATTAGAGTCATCTTAAAAATGGAGGCAGAAGACGAAATAAGTGGATTTTATTTACTGGAAAGCAAACGAGAAATTTGTGTTTCTAAATTTAGAATGTTACTTTGTATGTTACTTTGCAGAGGTTTGGACTACCTATTTTCTCCTGAGGTTGTATTAAATTAAAACTTGATTTGTCATTGTAATGAATATTATGAAATAAGGTAAGTAGTCTGATGTTTCCTAAGTGACTTTTATTGGAAACTCATAGAAGTGAATAATGTTTTTTTTTTTACAAATGTTACAGCAGATACGATTTTTGTTGCATTTACTTAATTACTGTACTGTTTTTTGATTCTTGATAGCACCACGGGATTAAAATAGATGTGTGTTGTTTTTCTGCTGCTAGAATGTATGATGAATCACTCCTGATTCTGAAGCCAAATTCTTGTTGATAGCATTGCTGCCAACTTCTGTGATGTGTTGCCTTAGTATGGGCATTGCAGCGTCCGAGAATGTGCACAAAGCACATCATAATGAAGGTGATTCCAGAGTTTCAGAGTGCATGTAAGGATACCAAGGACAGCTAAGAGAATTGGGAAAAGAACTGGCCTGGCATCCTGGTCATTTGTAGGGAGACATTCAGTACATGAAAAGTAGTACCCCAGTCCTTACCTTTTTAAACAGAATCATATCTATCACTGTAGTTAAACAGTAATAGAAAAAGGTTTCATTTTGAATAGACTTGAGTTTTCTGGCCATACCTCGGCGTAGTATGGTAGGTTGTTTTGTTTGTTTAACTTTCATGCTCTAGGTGGTTTAAAAAATGTCTGTGAGGTGATGAATATTCAGATCATAAAGTGTCCAAAGAAGGAAAAAGTTTTATGGCTTGGTTGGTATTTCAAAAAAATATTTTCTGGCTGTTATTTTTTTTTTAAGCTAGAGATTACCCAAGTGCATTCAGTATGTCATGTGTGAATGGAGGGAAGCCGTTACCTTTGTGGATTATTAGGTACCGTGACTCCCAAAAATCTGAACCTGAGGTAATCACATGCGTGATGCCCATGATCTGACCCTTGCCTTCTGAGAATGAGATAGGGGGACTGACAATTTCACCTTCCAAGAAAATGGGATTCTTTGCTGAGCCTTTCTCTTTCTCCTCGATAGGGGCTGTGTATGAGAGTTCATGAGCAGGGTGCATGTTTGACTTTTCTTCTTAGAAGATGTGGGCAGTAGTTTTAAAGAGGATACAAAAATAAAGTAGGTTGGAAGCAACAAGCCAAACTTCCTTTCAAGGAGTGAAGCTTAAAGCTGACTAGCTTTGAGGGAGGAGGTAGAGAGGGCCAGAAGATGGGATATTTCAGAGTTGGATCAGAGCATATTAATTACCAGGGAGTTCGGTCTCTCGGCTCTGCACAGCAGCCAGGCCCTTTGCTCACTGTTTGCCTCTGTTACACCCAGGGGAGAGGGTTTGGAGCTCACTGAGGCGCAAAGCATGCGGTATTTCCAAGGGTGAGGTGAAAGGGAGTGTGATCAGTGGCCAAGGGCTTCAGAGCAAGTTCTGAAAGGGATGGAAGCCACCCTGCAGCCGGTAGCCGAGGTGCCATCCCCGATTGCCTGAACGTTCTGAAATACAGATCGAATTATGTGTGGTAATGAATATTTAAACTGAGGTCATGTGTTAACCTTTTGCTAGTATTTGAACCTGTTATTAGTAGGAATCTCAGTAGGTAACTGGCTGTTGAGTTTCATAAGGATTTTTAAATGTCTGCCATGCCACAAGTAGAAACAGATGAGCCAGTTTCTCCTTGTTAGTGCATCTGCTTTTTTCCAACGTTGAAATAAAATTATGGTATTTTGAGCTTTTATTCATTTTATATTACTGTAAAATAAATAGTCATTTCTGGTAGGCATAATTTTAAGTCTGCCTATTGCCTTTATTTGCAGACTTTGTTTGCTTTGCCCCACTCCTCTGGTTCGCTGCCCTCCCTCCACCCACCCTCCTCAGTCTCTGTTTACGTCTTTGAGGCTCATGCAGGATTCAGCCCAGATGACTGAACTTTGTTAACTAGTCTGTGTTTAACGGTGGGAGGGTCGGAACGTTTTTTTTCCTCCAGTATTTACTGACTTGTGGAGAGCAGAGAGTCTTCTGACCTGCCGGAGGAAGGAAAACAGAGCAGGGGTGCAAGGCCAGAGCCTGGGAGTGGGCCGTTGGTGAAGAATTACAGTAGCGAATGTGATCTTCCAGGAGATACTTACTTTCTCCCTTAAAGAAAATTAGGAAGGTGCTAAGAAGGTGCTAAGTGGGCGGCACAGCCTGATCTATGAATTGAGTTTTTCAGTGAAGTCGGAAGGGGAAGCAAAACAAACTTACCCTGTTCTCAGCTGTGGGTTAAAATAACGAATAATGAAATAAACTGGGGTGAGTGAGAGGTACCACCGGACCAAGTGATTTAAAATGTTCCCCTAGCCTTTCCTGGCTCTTCTGCTTACCGTGCAAGTCATTTCCTTGCACCCACCCACCCACCAGGTAGCTGTGCTGTCCTACAGGTTTTTAGTTTTCTTCCTGAAGCTGCATCGGTCTGGCTGACACATCTTTTGTCTTCTCTGACATTTACTTTTCATTTTATTTTCTCTTCATATCTGAGCCCTTTCCACTGGGGCAACCCGGTTCTTCATACTCGTTTCTGTTTCCTGCATTTTATTTTATTTTTTTATTTATTTTTATTGATTTATGATAGTCACACAGAGGGGCAGAGACACAGGCAGAGGGAGAAGCAGGCTTCATGCAGGGAGCCCGACGTGGGACTTGATCCCAGGTCTCCAGGATCAGGCCCTGGGCTGAAGACAGCGCTAAACCGCTGAGCCACGGGGCTGACCTATAGTGTGTATTTTTAAAAATAACATTAATAGATGTTGCCAAATGGCTGTTAGTTTTGGAAGAGGAACATATTTTTTTTGCTTTTATCTTAACTGATTCAAAGATAAATGCAAGTTATCTATCACATTCAAAGACTAAGGAACAATATAATTCTTCTATAAATATACGTGAACAATATAATTCTTCTATAAATATACATGAAATATAGAGTTTTTAAATAGTTTTTTTTAATTTTAAGTGTTCATAATATTATAGTATAGAACAATACATAGCATGTTGGGGAAGATATATGAATGACATATGATTCCTTTAGAAGAAAATGCCAGTTTTCAGATTCAAAAGAAGTACCTAAAATCGTATTATATGGATATGTGATAATATACAGAGAATCGATTTTAAGGTACTCCTTTCTGGTCATCAGGTATATATAATGACGTCACAAGTATGCATTGGCAAACGTTCAGAAGGTTGAAAATTCAGTAATTCCGAGGTTGGCTATTGTTGTTAACAAGCTATCCTTTACATGTGTTGGTTTCCAAGCTAGAGGTCTTGGCTAGGGTACGTGTCTGGCCTGTGTTCCCATTCGTCATAAGCAATAAGGAAGTTCTGGAAGGGATGGAAGCCACCCTGCAGCCGGTACCCGAGGTGCCATCCCCGATTGCCTGAACGTACTGAAATACAGATCGAATTATGTGTGGTAATGAATATTTAAACTGAGGTCATGTGTTAACCTTTTGGTTTTAGAATACTAGAGGCAGTCATTGGCTTTATCATTTACCTTTTGAGGATCCCATGCCTGATAGTGTGGAGTGTGGTCTGGTTTCTTCCAACTAGGACAACCAGTATTCATAAATTGATACCCTTTATTGAAACTTGCTCCTGACTATCAGGAGTCAGGCCATCTGATTTATAGATGATTCTAAAGCAAGAGTTTTTGAAAAAGCTTATTTTATACACATATATTATATGGAGAAACAAATGTTTTTATTAAATGTTTCACTGACCAAAATAATTTTAAAGAAATAAATGTTATTTATATCTTTCAGGAAAAATAATTGTAGCAGGTGATCTGTAAATGACTTTAGAAGCTTATTTTAGTAATTTAAATAAATTTACTTTCTTGGTTTGTAAAAAAAAAAAAAATCGTGCAAATGGTTTCTAACAAAAGCACCCTTTAATTATTCTTTCCTGCCAGAACCTGAAAAATAATACTCTAGAGCATAAAATTGTTAAAAAATTTGGTGAAGGTTTCCTTGAAATATTGAGTGAAACATAGAGATCTAGAAAGATGGTTGTGAAAATGTGGACTTTATAGCATATTTAATAGCCATTTTTGTTGGAGCCAAATGATAAATTCTGTTTTCTGAGTCTGACAAAACAAATGCAGGTACTATTTTCTTTGTGATAATATGCTTCCTAGATTATGAAACATTTTCTCTTGAGTTTTATTTCATTTGCTCTCTCCACACTTTTGATTCTGAACTGCAGTGATAATCTTGGTATGAATAATAATTTACAGATTTTAAAAATTTGTGTATAAAACCCAATTTGGTTTATGCATTTTGCTACGTTTATTGCTCCTTTTAAAACTTTATACGTTTTAAGAAAATGCTTTTATTACAATTCTAATATTGAAATAGTCAACATGTTAAAGGTAGGTACAAATTTTAAACTATTTAACAAAGTGCTTTACTGCTGTTTGTCTTTTGTGACAAAGGTCTGTTTTAAGTTTATGATTTATGGAAAACTAAGACTAATAAAAATTATCTGG